AGTCTTGCAGAGAAACCAGAAAGATTCCCGCGAAGGGAAATTGGCCGCAAACTGGGAAGGACCTTACCGCGTCCAGGGCGCTACAGGAACCGGAGCATATTATCTCGAGCAGTTAAACAGAGAACCACTACCACGACCCTGGAATGCTGCAAAGCTGAAACAGTACTATAGCTAAAACCCTCAACCACTATGGACTTTTGCCGTCGAACATTCGCCCTTAGCCGACAAGGAGAAAGTATCGACCATGTAGGCGGGTCAAGGTACTAGCCCGACCACCGAGGGAACAATGTTGTTCACCCAATGAGTCAAACGCTAATGCCCGGCAGGGACACCTCGATCGAGTTCCACTGTCAAAGTACCCACATGGCAGAACACCTAGCTCGTGATGGGCAGTTCACGCCGCGAGCGTCGGACCCCAATCTAGGTCATACGCCCGACATGCGGACTCCACTCCGCATAATCGACACATTTCGAAATGTGTCAAACCATCACGAGGGTCGAAAGGGTATCTCCGCTCGAGCACAAACCTTATAAAATATTCGTTATAAAAATAACAGTCGAGCATATACCTAGATACTAGCAGGTAATTACAAACAAAAGCATCTTTCGAAAAAGCAATCATAAAACAGATTAATGATGTACCGACCACGAAGGTCGGCGATGTTCAAGATTACAATCCAGGGCACGAAGGCCCAAAGAAATTAAGAAAAACACGGGCACGCAGACCCAAACAATAACAAAGTCAATCATTCCCCGGAGAGTTGACGACCACATCAGGAGAATCGGGAGGAGGCATTACCTGACCATCGATAATCTGGGACAGAACTCCAACCCCGTCGGTGTTCAAGCCCGGATTCAGCATGAACAACTGACTCACCGCATTCTCGAACCCGTCGACCAGAGCGCCAATACAATCTGACTCGAGGAGGTGGATGCGAGCAACAAAATTCGAGTGCGTACGCAAAGCGGCTATCTCATTTGGCTCGTCCTCAGCGAGAAGCATAGCAGCTTTCAGCTCCTCATTCTCCCTCGACAATCGTTTTTTATCGCTCTCCAATCTTTCCTTTTCGAGTTAGAGGCAATCCCTCTCCTCAAGAGCCTTGTCGGCCTTCTCCTTCTTCCCCGACAGCAAGTCATCCTGTTCACGGAACATCTCCTTGGACCGTTCGAGGGCTGCCTTCAACTTGCGAGACTTGGCCGCAAGAGCCGCCTTCTTCGATTCCAGCTCCCTAACCCGGTCCGTAGAATCTGATCCTTCCCCTGCGAGGACCATAGCCATCTCGGCCATTTTCACCACTCCGACCATGCTAGCAGCGAGGTGTTTCCTCTGACCTTCCTTGTCGAGCCGCTTAATAATGTCGACTTCGTTGTCAGACACGGTCAGGGGAAACCCCTCAAAGAAGTCCTTCTCCATAAAGTAGGGCGGTAAGCCAAAAGCCCAGACAGAAACAGGCTTATCAATCACTTCCGCTCCACCCTATGGCCGGCTCCTCTTCCTGCTGACCAGCACAGTTTGGCGCTCGACGTCTGGGGAACCCGAGGACCCACTGGATCCTTCTCTGCCCGAGTCAGCAGGCGAGCCCATCCGCGTGGCCCGCTGTGGTCTCACCAACCTCTTATTTATCTTCTTGTCTTGAGTCAACTTTAGCAACCTTTCACGTCGCTCCGCCATGTGACCTACAAATGAAGCAAACCAGGGTTAGCTACACACGACTAAAGGCAATAAAAAAGGAATAACTTAAGAGCAAAGCAAGAAACCTAGGAGATCTACGACCTGCCCGTAGGATTGGCATTCAACAAGCGCCTTGGTATTAATAGGGCGCGCCTCGAACGTCGGATAGCCGTCTTTGTCGGGAATGTCGTCCCCTTCCCTGGTGACCCACCGGGCAAGAAAGAAGCCATCAACGAACTTGTTTAGAACGCCGTAAACCTCCTCGTCCTCGGCACTCATACCCCCAGCAGGAGTATGGTAGTGCCTGGGACCATGGTCATAATGAGCCGAGCACCAATGAATAGGGAACCTGGAAATCTGCTCGACCTCGGGATTACCCTCAGCGTCCAAACAGGGCTCCCCGTCCTCGTCGACCACAGTGGCCGGTTCGAACAAAGAATCTAGGGTCGTCTGGGTGGTCGGCTGCAGTATGTACCATTTGTCCTTAAAATCCCTCACAGAGTCCATGTACATCCTAAACAGTCTCTTTGACATATTAAGGGACACCCAACTATGTTTGCCTCCTCGGGACTAGTGTTGCAGGTGGAAAACCCTGAAGAACATGGGAATCGTCGCCCCAATTCTCAGGAAACGACAAGTTAGCTCGAACGCCCAAAGAAAGGCAATCGCGTTGGGTGGAGCTGGGAGGGGGCCAGGTTCATATGGTTGAACACTCCGACTTGGAAGTCGTTAAAAGGAAACCGAATACCAAGATCCCTGAATATGATCTCATACATGGGGAATGCATCTTGGGTGAACTCCGAGCAGATGCGAGCATCCCTCGCCGGCCTCATTATTTTAAAGTTCCGTTGAAATCCTTCTTGAGTACCGCCGTACTCGACGATGATATAAGCTTGTCTGTTGTGATGGTTGTACACCGAAGTTATTCCCCGGGGCTCGAGACCCACCCAATCCAGCGTAGGATCGTCGACGGTGTCGACCAAGGTAATAGACTCTTCTGCTGTACTTGCATCCTTGATGTAGTTGCGCCCCGAGGACTCGGGAACGTCATCCATTTACCTGCAAAGTACAGGAAACTGGTGAATTTGACAGCAAATCTGCGTGCCCGCCACAGAGGCGGGGAGAAGTAAGCAACACTCAGATCGAATCTACAACCATTCGCGAGAGAAACGGGAACCAAGTGGATCTCAACCAAACACCGACACCCAGGCGCCAACCACGTATCAATCATGAACGACGCGAGCGTAACATGAATGCCCCGGGCGAATCTTAAATCACGCGACCAAGTTCATAATTTCACTTACCCGGTACAAGAACACTACGGGGAAACTAGCCTACATACTAACGAAAGGATGAATACCCCGGTCAAGTTCATGACTCCACTAACCAAAACGCATGAGTATCGCGAGCAAGATCATGAATCATATGCTTAAACTTATGAATGTCTCGGGCACGACTATGAATCAGGCGCCTAGCGCGTTTAAATCTACGGGGCATAATCTCCGGATACAAGTTTCTACTAGAAAATCATCATCAAAACTATCCACAACGCGAGAAATCAAAGGGAAAGGATACTTACTTGGAAGGAGATGCGAAGAAACGATGGTGGTGGAAGTAAACGGACGGTGAACGGCACGGCGGTCTCAACGGTGTTATGGGAACTCACGATAGTAAAAACAGAGAAAGTAGGAGAGGCAAGAAGAGGTGAAACGGACTATGGGCCCTGGGATCCTATTTATAGAGATGACATGGAATATGAAACGTCGCACCGGGGAGCCACGAACCGCCCCCGTCCTCGACACCTACTCACCTAGATAAATGATGGTCCTATTCACTAGGGCGGTGTTGCAATTTCCAAGGACTACACCACGTGTCCAACAAACGCAACTGGCGCATCCCCACGAGCAATCCTCGAGTACACCTCGACATGGAAAACCCGGCGTCAGGCACGAGGTCCCCGTGAAAGGGCGAACTAGGATCAAGTCATAACTCCTGTACCAGGAACAACGACTTGGGGGCTCCTGTTCTGGACTGAGCCTGCCCTTGGCCCAAATCACAAGTAAGACCCAGATCTGAACCGTGCCTCAAGCTATGCTGGGAACCAGACTCCCCGAGCACACCCAGTCACGGGCCGTTACGACTATGCCCGCCGCTGCCCGCTACGAGAAGCGTCCTCAACACGGACATCCCAACTCGAGCCCTGCTCGAGCATCCTCTCCGTAGGGCACACTCAGTCCCTCCGGATGCTTCAGAGTCTTTAGAGCTCCGGGAAGATCGCGTCTTCGTTCTTCCTTGTTCTTCGCGGAGCATCATCCAGGAAGGGGACCACGTGCAGGTCCCTACTACTCACGTAGAACCTGGCAGTCCCTTTGTTGGGCCAGTTTTGGTCAGCCCAATAAAGGGACCTTGACCCAGCGCTGGGGGCTATAAATACCCTCTGTTCCGAGAGGGTCAGATATTCATTCTCTAAGACACCTATATACAATTTGTCTGCTCATTCCGTCGCTTACTTTATCATCGGAGTGTCTTGATGGTACCCCCCCCCCCCCCCCCCCATCTCTCAAATCCAGTTCGAACCAGCTGTGGTGGTCCAATTCTGATCAGGTAAGATCAGAAATGAATGAACTTTACCTTAAATTCTATTTTCTTGAGCTCCTTTTGATATGATGAACCACAAAAATAAAGATTTAGAGTGGAAAAATAGATTGAGAATGAAAGGATTTTTTAAAGGTTTTATGAGAAGAAGAAAAATGGTACGATCAAAACTTGACTATGGTGGTTAATGTTAAACATTATGAATTTTCCATAATACCAGAAGTATACTTCTGATTATAGACAAAGTGACAAGATAGTAGAAAAAATCAATCTTCTCGCTCTAAAAATCGGAACCATAATATCGGTACAGAACCAGAAATATATCTCCGATTTTGTTTTTTATATTTTGAAGGATGAAATCACATTTAACATGTTTTTATAATATATAGTACGAACGAAAAATGTATTTTCGATTTTCAAGAGACAATTTTAAAATTACAAATAATCTTTTTTTAGACATGAAATGGAATAAAAAATTTCCACGTTAACACACTATTCAATCCTCTTCTACTTTCAAATTCCGAATAACAAATTTAGAATATAACAAACAAAAAACCAAAACCAAAACCATGTGATGATCTGAATCCTGAAGCCTAACCTTTTATTAGAACAAAAGGATATGTCCCTACCATTTTCAATATGTCCCTACCATTTTCAATATGTCCCATAGTATTCCTGAAGAAAGTGATGTATATACTATAAGCATTCTTCATGGTAGCTTTTGTGTCATACAAAAAGTGTTCGAATACTAAAAATTATTTACGGTAATGTATTTGCTATAATAATTAATGTATCCGTAAAAAAATATCTATTTATTTTCCTAAATTTTTGTTATTGTTGTTATTATTATTATAATTTAATAATATTTAATTTATTTACAAACAATGGGTCTACAACCCCAAGCCCAGTCAGCCCATCGTTCACTTCCGCTTTTGCACTTCCATCTCAGAAACAAGCTTCCGTCGCACTGACCTCAATTCCCCGCCGGGAAACGAAAACCCTGCCGGAATCCGCAGCCGGAGCTAGTCGCCGGCCTCCCTAAAATCCAGGTTTTCCTCTTCATTTATCTTTTCGGAATTTTCAATATACCAAAATTATAGTGCGTTGATTGTTGAATGAAAGCTAGTACACTACCTTCAAATGTTGATTGGGAATGTTTAAATTTTGGGTACAAATTTTCTGGATCTCTTATTTTCTAGTGTTGTGCATCTTCAATTTCTTTATATCTGCTTGAATTTTGTATATTATGCTATTGCTTAATGCTTGATTAAGTAAGATCTTGAAACTATTGTTGTTGATATTGAGTAGATATGACACCGAGTTTTAAAAAGCGGCCGCTTCAGCCGCGTTCCCGGGTAGCGGGAAGTTCCCGGGCGGAGCGGCTCCGGTTCTTTTTTTTTTTTTTTAAACAATTTTTTGGGTCAAATTACTTAAATGCCTCTGTTTTAAAACAGTTTTTGTTTTCTTTCTCCCTCATTCGATGTGTTTTATCGTGCCATAATTCCTCAACTCTCCTTCTACGATTCTGCCGCCATCTCCCTGCAACTCTCCTTCTTCGGTTCTTCCTCCATCTCCTTCTGCCATCTCAGGTAATTTCTTCTAATTCTTCAACTTATTCTACTTCAACTTATTCTACTTCTTTTCTTTCTACTTTCTACTTCTTCTATTTTGTTTTGTTGTAAACACCGTTTCTTTCTATTTTGAAGAAGTTGAAGATGAAGAATTGGAGGAATATGAAGAAGATGAAGAACTGGAGGAATATTTTGATGATGCTACATGATTTCTATGTTTGATTGAATTTTCATATGATAGTACTAAGTTTGAATTTGAATCTTTATGTTTTGAATCTTGATTAAGCATTGTTCTTTGTTTGACATTACATTTTATAAATATTTTATGAGTGTTGTGAAATTAGTTTAGTATTACATGACATATGTTTTATAGATTATTATATAATTATTAGTATACAAAAAGTTATCCCGCTATCCGGGATCCCGCTATTCCCACTTTTCCCATTCCCGGGAGTCGGCCACTCCGCTCCGCTATCCGGGATTAATAACTCTGGCGATTACGGTCATTGCGGTTGCTGCGGTGCGCATTGCGGCCGTTGCAACTTGAATTTTGATTGAGAAGAGATTGAAATACACCATTAAAAACACTAAGGCTTTTTTTGGGAGTTTGGAGAGGAAGGAAGGGGAGGACTTCGAAAAATAGGAAGCATTGGGTGAAAAGAATAGAAAAATTTTGGTTGGAAGGGTTTTGGATGGCTTTTTTTTTTCATAACATCAAAAATCCTCTAATTTGTGGGAACTCAAAATTTGTATTGGAGAAGGGTTTTGGAGGGCTTAGACAAATTGTTCAAATATATTTTTTGTTGTTATAGTATTTCAAAAATTAAAAATACGTTAATGATAAACATTATTTTATTATTCTAAACAAAATCTTTTTTTCAAAAAATGTTCAAAATTTCTCTATATTTAAAAAAAAAATCATTTTTCAAGCCCTCCCTTCCCCTCCCCTCCAATCTCCCAAACAAAGCCTTAATGTTAATATTTTTCCATAAATAAATCGAGTTTTGTGGTTCTAAATTTTATGTTTTGACGAAAATACTTGAAGAAACATGGGCGAAGATGTCTGATGCAATTCCTAATGTGGAATGACGCGTGATTTCAAATCACACTGCAATTTAAAACCATTATTAGCATATGTTTTGTGATATTTCAAGTTAGCTCTTTTGTGGAGAACTCAATTGTCTGTCTAACTATAAACACGACTGTTTTCCCGTGTATAAATAGTAATAGGTTTTCAGGAGTTTATTTTACTTTATTTTCCACCTGTTTTTTGGAAGACTAATCCACGTGTATTTGCATTCAAGTTGCTTATCAACCTTCTTTACTGTAACAAGTTTTAGATTAATATGATTTCCTTGTTGGTTGTTCATGGAAGGACTTTTGCTTGACAGTTCAGGTTGAGCATGCTAAGTCTTAGCTGTTGCACTTGCACGTGACGTTGATGTGCACTTTTTGACACAGAATTGTAGTTATCCTGGAACTGTTATCATTGAAGATAGAGGGGGGAAATGGGTAAACTAGCTCTTGCAGCAATAGTGAGCTCATGGGTTGTTCCTATCACCATAATGGTCAATCGCATAGTTACTGAGCCATATATGGTAAGAAAAAGTTTATTAACTTGGGAATAGACAGTTGCTGATATTTAAAATGACTGAAGAATTTTACCTTTCATTCGTTATAACTGATGTCCATGATTTGCAGGATGAGATATTTCATATACCACAGGCTCAGCAGTACTGTAAGGGAAATTTTGGAAGTTGGGACCCTATGATTACCACCCCTCCTGGCCTGTATGTTCTGCTATCTCTTTACGAAACATTTGATCTCCGTAGCTTATATAACTTTGCTTTTTTGGTAATAAACAGAGCTTTTCTATAGTAAACTGCCTTTGGATGTTATCTCAGCTGGTTATGAACAAAGCACTTTGCTTGAACGGCTTTGGTTCGATTCTCGTACAGTTAATTCAAAAATAAATAATCCGCTTATTATAACGAAATGAAAAGGGAATGGAAAGAAAAAACACACCATAGGATCAAGAACAGAAAATATGCAATCATTCAGAAACAGCTAACTAGATAGTAGATACCAATTTGTGGCTCGTGCAGAAATTTAATTTCATTACACTATATGTTAGTTTGGCTTTTTGTGATGGCGTATTGAATATATCCCATGTAAGCACTTGGAAAGGAAGCAGTTATAGGAATATATTAAGCACTCTTGATGAACGAAAACTCTTAATCTAGCAATTTATAACTGGATGGTTTTTTGTTTGATCCAACTGTAGCGTGATTAATGAATGAATAATCATACAAATGGAAACATCCATAAGGTTACTTAATGAATATACAGTTAAGTTGAAGTAGTAAATATATAATACACATCCGGGAAAGAATCTGGGCCATTTTGAAAAATTAAAATTCTGAATGTTTGTGAAATTCGATGATTCTGGCTCTGCTAGAAGATAATGTTTGAAGTACTGCGTAAATTTGAGGGTCATGAATTTGAGTGAACTTAAACAATTTTACCTAGATAGTCATTATCGTAAACCTAATATTGCAGTATCAATTAAGACTGTTTATCTTTCCAATATAAAAACTTTTGCAGGTACTATCTTTCACTTGCGCATGTTGCTTCTTTGTTTCCAGGCTTATACTGTGTAGAAGCTGCTTCATCATTTTTGGATGTGTGCTCTGCATCCATTCTTCGATCAATCAATGGTGTCTTAGCAATCACATGCAGCATAATTCTATATGACATCATTATTCACTTGAGACCAACTCTTGGTGACAGAAAGACAATGCTTCATGCAGTTGTCCTATCCTTGTACCCCCTTCATTGGTTCTTCACTTTTCTTTATTATACGGATGTTGCATCCGTTACTGCTGTGCTGGCTATGTATCTTGCAAGTTTGAAAAAGAATTACTGGTTAAGTGCATTGGTAGGGTATATTTAGACTTTTATGTTGCAAACATGTATAAAATTGATATCTAGATTTAGCTTGATGTATATTATGTGAATTAGTTTTATTTTCATTGCTATTCTTAGTTTAAATGGATCTTTTCTATCTTTTTTCTGCTGTATGTTTGCTTGTAGTCTAGATTATAACCTTTTCAGTCAATTTTTCTTCTTTCCCTTTTTATGTATGTTGATGAGCAGGTCTAGACACTTCCTAGTGAGGACTATTTCACCTTTAGCTCCGCAGCATATATAGATAATTCTATACGTAATTGTATTTAATAGAGTGGCATTAACACATTCAATATTGTTTATGTAGGTTGGAGCCTTTGCAGTTATTGTTCGACAAACGAATATTATATGGGTGCTTTTTTGTGCATGCATTGGTATAATAGATATTTCTCTGATGCGTGGAAAGGGCAATGCAAAAACAGCCAAATCAGATGTATCAGTTGAGCATGATTTCACATCTGTTACTGGTACAAGCACAAAGGGTACAGTAATAGAGTAGTTTACTAATATGCCCTTCATTTTATCTTTCTATTCTGTTTTGCTGAGCTGTCAGGTTTGTTAGTGGTGTGATGTTAGCTTGTTATGGCCTCACACCTTTTCTGCTTTGTATCACATGGCTATATAAAGTAGCCTCTTGTATTACTGTTGATTATATAATACAATGAGAGTTTCTTTTCATTCTCTCTCTTTACCTATTTCTATCATGGTATACAGAGCATAATTTTTTTTTTTTCCGATCCATGGAACCTTTATTCCCTTCCTCTCAGGTGAAACTTTCTCACCTAATTTCTGTTAAGCTTGACGACAAGAATTTCAAACAGTGGAAGCAACAGATTGATGGCGTCGTCCGTGGTCATCGTCTTCAACGCTTTGTCACTGTTCCGGTGATTCCGCCACCGTCTCCCTCAGATCCTGCATCTCACAGTGCGTTTCTTGAGTGGGAACAGCAGGATGCTCTCATTTGCACCTGGCTTCTCTCTACCATCTCCGATGCTCTCCTTCCTAAGCTCGTTGACTGCAAGCATGCGTGGCAGGTGTGGACAGAAGTTCATCGGTACTTTGATGTTCTTCTCTCCACCAAGGCTCGTCAACTTCGTTCAGAACTCCGGCGTCTTACGAAGGGTTCACTAACGATTACTGAGCTTATGACGCGTTCACGTGACATCAGTGAGTCGCTAACCTCCATCGGTGATCCCGTTCCTCTTCGTAACCTAATTGAGATTGTTCTTGATTCGTTACCTGAGGATTATGATTCTATTGTCGCCGCCGTTAACAGCAAAGATGACGTTAGCTCCTTGGAAGAGTTGGAGTCTTCCTTGCTTGCTCATGAGTCGCGATTGGAGAAGCATCGCAAAGCTGCGATTACAGAACCGGCGACGGCGACGATCAATCTCACTCAAGCAACACCTTCTCCCACTCCAGTCGCTTCTGATCAAGTCATCTCCGAGGCGTTTCCTCAAGGAACGAGTCACGTCACCGCTAATGCTGAAAATCATTCCTATGGTGCACGTGGTGGTCGTTCTGGTCGCGGTGGTGGTCGTTTTGGTCGTGGAGGAGGTCGTTTTGGGAAATCACCGTGTCAGATTTGTCACAAACCTGGTCATGATGCTTCAGTATGCTACTATCGTTATGCCAATTCAAGTGGTGCTAGTTATCCACATCATCGAGCTCCCTTCAATCCTTTTCACGTGGCTCCTCGTGCTGTTTATCCTGTGCAGCTTGCTTATGCTTCTCCCAGAGCTGCGCCTCCCAGATCTTCTGCACCACAAGCCTTTTATGCAGGTACTGAAGCTAGCAGTGCAAACCAGTGGTGGTATCCTGACTCAGGAGCTTCTCATCATGTTACTCCTGATGCCTCTAATGTGTCTGACTCTGCCTCCGTGCCTGGAACTGAACAAGTTTTCATAGGTAACGGCCAAGGTTTGTCCATCAACTCTGTAGGTTCTATGTCTTTTCCCTTACCTCACAAACCTCATCTATCTCTCACTCTTAACAATCTCTTACATGTCCCTCACATCACCAAAAACCTTATGAGTGTGAGCAAATTTGCTCAAGATAATTCTGTATTTTTTGAATTTCATCCTAAGTTTTGTGTTGTCAAATCTCAGGCTACTTCTGAAGTCTTACTCAGTGGTCTTGTTGGTGCTGATGGCCTCTATAAATTCTCCAATCCAGCTGCTCCTCCGTTGTCCAAATCTTCTTCCTCTTATAGTTCTAGTCATAGTTATCCTGCAGCATACAATTGTAATACTTCCTATAGGACGGATGTTATAGATTCTATATCTCAGTGTACTGAATCTGTTGCAAATCATACTATAAATCCTTTGTCTTCTTGTAATGAATCTTGCAATTATAATGTTACAAGTACCTTTTTCAATCCTTCTCTAAACTCTGTCAGTACTGTTTTACCTTCCTCACACTTTAATGCTGCAAATTCTATTGCATCCAATAAATATGTGCTTTGGCATACTAGGCTGGGACACCCCAATCATCATACCCTCACTGAAATCTTCAAACTGTGTAATCAATCCTTTCCATCTAAACCCCCTGCTGAGTTATGTCACGCTTGCTGCATTGGCAAGTCTCATAGACTTCCTTCTTCTTTATCTACCACAGTTTACTCTCATCCTTTTGAGCTGGTTGTATGTGATCTTTGGGGTCCTGCCCCTATGCAATCTTCCAGTGGTTATACCTATTTCCTAACCTGTATTGATGCCTTCTCTAGGTTTGTTTGGGTTTTTCCTCTCAAACTTAAGTCTGACACCATGGTTCAATTTCTTCAGTTTAAGAAAATGGTTGAACTTCAGTTCAATTGTCCCATTAAATGTGTCCAAACTGATGGGGGAGGTGAGTTTAGGCCTCTTACCAAATATCTCACAGATTTAGGGATTGTTCACAGATTCACTTGTCCCCATACACATCACCAAAATGGCCTTGTTGAACGTAAGCACAGGCACATTGTTGAGACTGGTCTCACACTCCTTGCTCAGTCCACCCTTCCCTTAAAATTCTGGGATCATGCCTTTGTCACAGCTGCATATCTCATTAACAGACTTCCTACACCTATACTTGACAATGTCTCACCTTATTTTAAATTACTTCACAAAAACCCTGACTATACTATCCTTAAAGTCTTTGGCTGTGCATGTTATCCTTTTCTCCGTCCCTATAATTCTCATAAACTTGATTTTAGATCTCAACTGTGTATTTTCCTTGGATACTCTACCTCTCACAAAGGCTATAAATGCCTTGCTTCAGATAGTCGCATTTTTATTTCCAAGGATGTTGTTTTTAATGAAGCAAATTTTCCTTATTCCACCTTGGTTTCTTCTTCAAAATCTGTCTCTCTTCCTAACACTCCATCCTCTTCCTCTCCCTCTCTCAGTTTTCCTCCTGTTCCCTCTGCTCCCTCTACTTCTAATCTGTCTTCTATGCCTTCTTCTTCCTCAAATTCTGCTTTTCCTCAACTTAGCAGTCCCACTATTTCTAATTTTTCTCCAATCTCTTCTTCCTCTTCCTCTGCTGCTCCCTCTAACAACTCTTATTCTTCTGGTCAGCAACCTATCCCTCAACCTCTCACTGCCATTCCCATTACCTCTTCTCCTTCTTCCTCTCCTGCCCTCATTCTCTCTGATCCAGCTGAAGCTAGCACTCTTTCTCCCTCCTCTTCATATTCCTCTCCTTTAGTTGGTCCCTCCCCTGGCCCTAGTCCTATTTCCCACCCTGCTGCCACAGCTTTACCTTCCATTCACCCTCAAAACATCCACCCTATGCAAACTAGAGCCAAAAGAGGAATCACTCTTCCTAGACTTCACCCTACTCTATTAATAGCCCACCTTGAACCTACATCTGTTGAGCAAGCCTTGGCTGCTCCTAACTGGTTTCAGGCCATGAAGGAAGAACATCAGGCACTGCTGAGAAATCAGACCTGGACTTTGGTGAAAGCTCCTGCTGGAAGGAAGCCTATTGGATGTAAGTGGGTGTTCAGGACTAAGGAGAATCCTGATGGTTCCATAAACAGGTATAAAGCCAGATTAGTGGCTAAAGGGTTCCATCAAAAGGCTGGTGATGATTTTCAAGAGACTTTTTCTCCTGTCATTAAACCTGTTACTGTGAGAATTGTTCTTTCTATTGCTGTTACAAACAGGTGGCCATTGCAGCAGATTGATGTTAACAATGCCTTCCTCAATGGCACTCTTGAAGAAGAAGTCCTTATGCAACAGCCCCCTGGCTTTGAAGTTGCTGACAGAACTCTTGTTTGCAAGTTAAATAAGGCTATTTATGGTTTAAAACAGGCTCCTAGGGCCTGGTTTGATAAGCTAAAGTGTGCCTTGGTTCAACTCGGGTTTAAGGCTAGTAGATGTGATCCTAGCTTGTTTTTGTTGCATCAAGGTAAACTTCAGATTCTAATTCTGGTCTATGTTGATGATATAATCATCACGGGTAGTTCTGCTCCTTTTATAGCTTCCTTGATCAAGCATCTCAATAATTCTTTCTCTCTCAAACAGCTGGGACAACTTGATTATTTCCTAGGGATTCAAGTGACTCATCTCCCTAATGGTTCTCTTCTCTTATCTCAGACTAAGTACATCACAGATTTGCTTTCAAGGCTTAATATGTTGAATGCCAATGGCATGCCTACTCCCATGGTCTCTAGCAGCAAATTGTCCAAGGTTGGGTCTGCTGCGGTTGATGACCCTACTCAGTTTCGGTCTGTGGTTGGTGCTCTTCAATATGCTACCTTAACTAGGCCAGAGATCTCTTTTTCAGTCAACAAAGTCTGTCAGTTTTTGTCCAATCCTTTAGAGGATCATTGGAAGGCTGTTAAAAGAATCTTAAGGTACCTAAGTGGTACTCTGCACCATGGTCTTCTCCTTCAGCCTGCTCCTATTCAGCAACCAATGCAGTTGCTAGGGTTCTGTGATGCAGACTGGGCATCAGACCCTGATGACCGGAGATCTACTTCAGGGGCCTGCATATATCTTGGGCCTAATGTTGTTTCCTGGTGGTCCAAGAAGCAACAGCTTGTTGCAAGGTCCAGTGCTGAAGCGGAATATCGCAGTATGGCTCAGCTAGCTGCTGAACTCATTTGGATTCAGTCCTTGCTCAAGGAACTCCATTATTCCTCTCAAGTTCCTAAGATCTTGTGTGATAACTTGAGCACTGTTACTTTGGCTCACAATCCTATTCTTCACAACAGGACTAAGCATATGGAGCTTGATATTTTCTTTCTGCGAGAGAAAGTACTCAGCAAAAGTCTGACTGTTGTTCATGTACCAGCTCAAGATCAATGGGCTGACATTCTCACTAAGCCCCTCTCTGCTGCCAAGTTTGTTCCTCTTCGTTCCAAGTTGCGTGTGTATGATAAGGCTGCTTTGACAAGTCTGCCATCAGCTTCTAAGGGGGACTAATAGAGTAGTTTACTAATATGCCCTTCATTTTATCTTTCTATTCTGTTTTGCTGAGCTGTCAGGTTTGTTAGTGGTGTGATGTTAGCTTGTTATGGCCTCACACCTTTTCTGCTTTGTATCACATGGCTATATAAAGTAGCCTCTTGTATTACTGTTGATTATATAATACAATGAGAGTTTCTTTTCATTCTCTCTCTTTACCTATTTCTATCATACAGATCTTAAAAGGAGAAAGTCTGTTAAAACTGTAAATACTTCCGAGTACTCTTTGCCTAGGATAAGTGCATCTTCTCCTTCCTTCTCTTCAGGTTTGCTTGAAAACCGCAAAGTCTCGTTTATGCTGATATACGTAAGAAAACAAGGTCTCTTTTATGCTCATACACATAATGATATTGTTTAGCAGATTTGTTTGATGAAATTCGGGCAGTCCTTTTAACAATATGGCAAATGAAGTTGGAGCTTTTAATTTCATTTAGCCCCTATCTCATGGTGTTGATAGCCTTTCTTTTATTTGTCTATTGGAATGGAAGTATTGTTCTGGGTAACATTCTTTTTCATGCTATCCCTTGTGATATTTTTGGCCCATTAGACCCTCTTTCTAACATATCTTACTGCAACGCAGGTGCAAAAGAAGCACATGCTGTTTCCCCACATTTTGCTCAGATACTATATTTTGGTTTAGTTTCTGTTTTGGCTCAGGCTCCCATGCATTTCACTTTCACCCATGCTGTGGACATGTTTCAGTCATTTTGGAGAAGTAGGCCCCTTAGTTACATTCAGATGTTCCTGGCCCTCATTGCTGGCATTTTGTCTGTACACTTTTTCAGGTTACATCTGACTCGTTTCACCAACTTAGTAGCAAGCAGATTCTGTATTTTCATGTTTCAATAATGAAGTGCATATTCTGATGAATTCAGGCATATTTCCAAAAGCTTTTTTATTCTAATATTCTATTATTGCATGCATGTTACAATAGTTCGCAACACTTACTCAGCTCAATTTAATCTAAAACTCTAATACAAGAAAATTAATTTTTATAGCGCATTCTAAGACTTGATTAATGTAAATTGTTTTGCTGAGTACCTTTCAATTGGTTTTTATAGTGTAGCGCATCCATACCTTCTTGCTGATAACCGTCATTACCCTTTCTATCTCTGGAGGAAAGTAATCATGGCTCACTGGTCAATTAGATATCTTTTCGTCCCAGTTTACATGTATTCATGGCTTTCAATCATTCATATGTTGGGTTAGTTCATTTCCAAACTAAGTATTTTGTTTCGTTCAATCGCTTGCGGGATCATAACAATCGACTTTTCTCAAACAGGTAAAGTTAGAAGTAGATTATGGATATTGACATACTTTTTGGCTACAGCGGCGGTTCTTGTTCCAGCTCCACTCATAGAGTTCAGATATTACACCATACCATTCTATTTCTTGGTCCTTCAGTGTAACATAAGGGATGGTCCACATTGGCTTCTTACAGGGATGCTATATGTTGGGGTTAATATCTTTACAATGTTAATGTTTTTGTTTCGGCCATTTCATTGGGATCATGAGACTGGGATTCAAAGGTTTATATGGTGATTTAATTTATTAGCCAACAGAAAACATGGTCTTTACTTTATGTAGCATTATCATTTTGTGGCAATATCATTTTTGAAAACTTTAAATAAAATGGCATTATGAATTGAGAAAAAAGAATATGCTGTGAAGTGTAAAGTTTTTACATTGTCAACAAAATACAAAGACATTAATAATTTATTTTATATAATTTTATAAAATGGCAGAAGTATGTAGGTATATTTAAAATAAATGGTTAATGTTTTACCTTTTCATTTTTTGAATGAAACTTTTTTAATAGTTTATTGTTCATATATATTTACACCATCGATAAAATTTGAACTATGAACCAACAATTTCTTTTAATTCTTAATTTATCCATTTCAAATCAGTTAAAATGTTTCTTCCAATTGATAAATGTTTTAAACTTGTTTGTTTCTTATGTCATTTTATACGATGTAGGCGGTTCAATATTAAATATTATAGTCGGTATCAGTCTGATATAGAATATTGTAGTCGGTTTCATTTTGATGAAGGTAAGAGCTTGAAAATGATAATTTCTAATGGAAGACTAGTGAATTGTGGTATAGGAATGTGATGGCGGACCTCCGAGAGTCCGATTGATAAATTTTTTGAACTTGCTTGTTTCTCATGCTATTTTACATGATATTGACGGTCTGATATTGAATATTATAGTAGGTGACATTCTGTTGAAGGAAAGAGCCTCCTAAGAAGGACATTTTCCCATGGAAGACTAGAGACATGTGGTTTGGGAATGTGATGGCGGACTTCTGGGAGTTCGATTGATAAAAATTTTAAAATTGATAAAAATTTTAAACTTGTTTCTTAGTCTATTTTACACGATGTGGACAGACCGATATAGAATATTATAGTCTGTGTCATTTCGATGAAGGCAAGAGCTTCCTGAGAATGACCATTTTCGATGGAAGACTAGTGAACTGTGTATGAGAATGTGATGGCGGACTTCCAAGAATCCAATTGATAAATGTTTTAAACTTGCTTGTTTCTTATGTCATTTTATACGATGTAGGCGGTTCAATATTAAATATTATAGTCGGTATCATTCCATTGAAGAAAAGAGCCTCTTGAAAATGACTATTTTCAATGGAAGACTAGTGAACTTTAATTTTGAAATACGATGGCGGACTTCCTCTAAAAGTGTGATTGTTAAATTTTTTGATATAGATAAAGAAGATAAACCATGCATCAACCTATGAGAAAATAAAAAATAAAAAATATAATTATAAAATATGAATATAAAATGTGCAAATATGAAATAATTTAGTTACATTAAAAATATATTTTTTTAAGAAGAAAAGTCTAAAATTTACTAGATTTAATGTAGAAACATGTGATTGAGTCGGTTGCTACCAAAGTTGGAATGCAAGTTTTGATGGTGGATAAAATTCTTGGAGATTCTTTTTAGTGTAAGTTCACGGTCTCTGTCAATCTTTTTTGGAGTCACATCCTTTTCTTCTGCTCTATCTCTTTCCATCATCTCAGATTTATAGAGAGTGGATGTTTTGTGATTTTCAAAAGTATAACCAAAATTCTCAAATTTAATCAATATAAATCTCTTAAAATGATCAATATCATGTATTAAATCATTAAATCTTCTTTTCAATTTTGCCACCCTTTGTTGTAGCAAATAATGTTCGCCCTGGTTATTAATATATTAACAATAACACTAATAAATAAGAAAGTATTCAAAATAATAAACAAATATTCTATAAATTAAAATAAATAAAATTATAATTTAATTACCTCATGGCCATCTGCTTTACAATGCATGTAAACATATTCATCCTAATTTTCCATTCTCTTTTTCCAAATGTAATTAATTTCTCTCTGGCTGAAATTTAAAAAAATAAATAAACAAACAATTCTTGTTCTCTCTCTACCTATTATAAAAAAAAAACTTATATATATATATATATATATATATATATATATATTAAAATAATATATTTATACCTTAAAGACGGTTGGAAATCCACTAAAGTCTATGATGAATTTATACCACAATGACAATTTAATTATGAAACAAACAAAGAAAAGAAGACAAGACAAATAATTTCTGCAGAGTTTCTCTCTGCTCACAAACTGTGAAAACTTTGTTATTCACTTGCAACTGCAAATTGTGAATACAACTTGCTTGACTTGCTTTTAAAAAATAGGGGTTACTCCCTCTATTTATAACAGAGCTTACACCCTAAGCCCAAAGCCTAAAATATCTTTTTGTTACTAAATCAAATATAATTTATTCTAGACTTAAATCAAATCTATTTAAATCTAAAACAAATTAAATCTTTTCGACACATAGTTTCGACACATTGGATTACAATTCAACACACCACATAATTCATTGTGTCTAAACTATCTATGTTCATCATGGCTCTTTACTTTCTGAATACTTCGACTTGCACTCTCTTCGTCATGATGTCTGCAATCTGATTATCAGTTCTGCAGTGTTCCAAATTCATCTTCCCATCTGCTACCTGCTCTCGAAGATAATGGAACCTCATTTCGATGTGCTTACTTCGACCATGTGTTATTGGGTTCTTCGTCAGATTGATAGCTGACATGCTGTCGATCTTCATGGTAATTGCTCCATGATATTTCCCTGTTATCTCTTCGATCAAGTTCACCATTCAAGTTGCATGACATGCACAAAGAGAAGCAGCTATGTATTCTGCTTCGCATGATGATAATGCCACTACTGGTTCCTTTCTTGAATTTCAAGCAACCGGTGCACCACCTAGCATAAACACATATCCTGCTGTTGACTTTCGATCTTCAGCATCACTACACCAACTCGAATCAGTGTATCCCACTAACTTACAGTCTTTTCCTTTATCAACTGCAGGAAACAAAATGTCATAATCGAAAGTTCCTTTGAGATACCTTAGTATCCTCTTCACTGCTGCTAGATGTGATACATTTGGCTTCTGCATGAATCTACTTACCATACCTACACTATATGCTAAGTCAGGCCTTGTATGACAAAAGTATCTCAATGATCCAATAAGTCTTCTGTATTGGATTGGATCAACATCATCTTCATCTGCATCTTTCAACAGTTGCAGTCTTGGTTCTGCAGGTGTCGAAGTTGAGTTGTATTCTTTCATCTCAAACCTCTTGAGAATTTCTCCTGCATATCTTCTTTGATGCATCATCAAACCTCTACTGCTCTTGTAGAATTCGATACCAAGGAAATATGAAATCTCACCCAAATCAGACATTTCGAATTCTTTGCTGAGATCACCTTTGAAGTCTTCGATCTCACTTTTACAGCTACCTGTTATCAACAAATCATCTACATAGAGACATAGTATAAGCAATTTACTCTTGCTTCTTCTTACATATACTCCATGTTCAGTTGTGCACTTTACAAATTCCTTCTCCCTTAGAAAACTATCAATTTTCTTATTCCAAGCCCTTGGAGCTTGTTTCAATCCATACAGGGCTTTATGTAGCCTGTACACCTTTCTTTCTTCGTCGTGTTTCACAAACCCAACTGGTTGTTTAACATAGACTTCTTCATTTAAGGGTCTATTTAGGAATGCACACTTCACGTCTATCTGACATATGTGCCAACTGTTTATTTCTGCTAGACCAACAATCAACCTGATTGTTTCGATCCTAGCAACAGGTGCAAAAACTTCATCGAAGTTTATTCCTTCTTTCTGTAGAAATCCTTTCGCCACAAGTCTTGCTTTGTGTCGATTTACTTCACCTTTCGAATTCGTTTTTACTTTGTATACCCACTTGACATCAATTGCCTTCTTTCCTTGAGGCAATTCGACAAGTGACCAAGTGTTGTTGTCTTTGATATACTTTACTTCTTCGTTCATTGATTTCACCCACTTTGAATCCTTTAATGCTTCAGCTGCATTAACGGGTTCGACATCTGCATAGAAAGCATAATGTACCAGCTCACCTTCATTATCTATTACATCATCTGATGTAATCACACAATCTTGCAATCTTGCAGGCATGCGTCTTGTTCTTTGAGGCCTGCTTGTACTTGGTATATCTGCTGGTTCCTCTTGTCGAACTTCTCTTTCGACTTGAGTTTCTGGCTCTTCAAGAAGGATTCCCACTGAATCTTTCTTGATATTATCAGTCTAATCCCATTCTTTAAACTCGGCTATGATCACGTCCCTGCTGATCACAATCTGCTTTTTCACTGGATCGAACAACTTGTAGCCTTCTGTCGAATGATATCCAACTAGAATCATTTGACTTGACTTATCATCAAGTTTTCTTCTCAACTGATCTGGCACATGTCTATGTGCAATAGATCTAGATACCTTCAGATGACTCAAGCTAGGCTTCACACCAGACCAACATTCTTCTGGAGTAATTCCTTCTAGCTTCTTTGTAGAACATCTGTTCAAAATGTATGTTGCAGTCGAAACAGCTTCACCCCAAAACTCTTTAGGTAAATTCTTGCCTTTCAACATACTTCTCACCATATTCATGATGGTTCGATTTTTCCTTTATGCAATTCCATTTTGTTGTGGAGTATAGGGTGGAACCACCTCATGCACAATCCCTTCCTTTTCACATAATTTGTCGAAGTCTTTCGACACATATTCTCCACCACCATCAGTTCTCAAAACTTTGAGCTTTCGACCACTTTGTCTTTCGACCATAGACTTAAACTTGGTAAATACTTCGATCACTTCACTTTTCTTCTTGATCAGATAAGTCCACAGCTTTCGACTGAAATTATCTATGAATGTAACAAAGTATTTGTTACCTCCCATTGAATCCACCTGGATTGGTCCACATACATCAGAGTATATGACTTCAAGACTTGCCTTCGACCTGCTTCCTGCATCCTTACTAAAGTTATTCTTGTGTTGCTTCGCATGCACACATTCCTCACATATCTCGTTTGGAATATCGATTTCTGACAATCCTGAAACCATATTTCTTCTCTTCAAATCTCTGATGTCTCTGAAGTTGAGATGGCATAGTCTATAATGCCATATTCA